TACAGCCCTTTCGTAGCTGAAGCTTCTTTATACAAATGCATCTCCAGTTCCAACTGTGAGAGGGAAGTCGTGTGCTTGCTTGACTTCAAGCAAGCAAGTCGTGTGCTTGCTTGACTTGCAAGTCCACGGCAGAAGACAGCAGCAGACTCCACATCCAGTCCTCTGCCTTTACTTTCCTTCTCTTTAATGTTACTCAGTTTGTGTCTATTTCTGGGACTTCTGACAGGATACGTAAACAATACGTAACATTTCTGGATTTTTGACTTTTTATGCAAGCTACTGCAGGCAAAAGATTTAATGAGCGTAAGGAGTCTTATTAATCTGAAAGCAGGTTTTATTGGTAACTGGCTCCATGAATTACTGCTTACTGCTGGCAGTAACGTACGGTGGACCACCACAAGGTCAAACTTTACAACTTTCCTAGGGGTGTCTGGGATCCTCTGCTGTTCACCTAATACAAAATATGTTCTATTCCACTGCAGAACTAATTTCATTCTGTTGGGAAACAGGCACTCTCCATTTCATACTCAAAATTTCCAATATTTATACAACTTTACAGACTGTCAAATTCTAGAAGCTCAGCTTCAAGCCCTTGAGTTAAAATAAACACATTTACTTTACAGAACACGTCTATTTTTTAGGCAGGCCACAGCTTCTCCTGATAAGCAATGTACCATTAAACTGCAAAAGCAGGCTGCAGCACAATTCCAGTCACCTTACCTTGGAGATGTGGGTAGTGATTTGCCCTCTGACCGCTGGGCTTCTAAAAGCTGCTGGAGTTGGTTCTGTAACGTCACACGTTCCACTGTCTGCCTGCACGGAAATACAGGACTGTTAACCTTGAACTGTAAAACTGTCAGCATTAGTAAGCTACAGAGTAACTGATACTACCCATTCAACTTTGTGTTCAAAAAAGAAGTTCTCCTCACCTATACTTTACATAGTAAATAAGAGGAATTATAAATAATGCCATAAACAGAGTTTACACTTTTCTCTGAATCCCTGTGGACCTTTTGTGATCACTGTACGAGACCAAGTGAGGCACGCTTACTTGTCAGAGATTATTTATTTTACTTCATATAAGGACAAATGTGGGATCGTAAGCAGCAGTTCATTGAGTGACTCGCAGAAAATAATAGCCCAGAAACAAAGATACGTCAGAGCAAACTTAGGGCCGCTTGGTTCTGACTTGTTTGTGTAAAGGAAGAGGAAAGGGACAGATTAAGAAGTCACCTCCTCGGTTTGGTGGATGACTTTTACTCAGCTAAACGACAGCTCAGGCAAATGCTGTCTCCTTTTCTATCTGCAAATGAATTCAGAGAGGAGTCTTGGCCCACGGGGAAGAGCTGGTCCTATCTTCTTCAGCTGCAGGATGACCTCTGTGTATTCAGGGCAGCAGGAAAAACCACATCTGCTTGCTGCCCAGCCTTACCAAAGGTCCCACCTGTGCTCTGCGCCCACCCTGTGCTCAGTCGTGCTGTACCTACTGCAGTCTATCACCTTCAGTGTGGTGGTGTGATCTACGCTGCTTTGTAAATATCTTTTATTTACCAATAAATGTTTAAATTTAGATAATTTAAATTTACATAATAAACAGACCAATGTTTAAAAAACTGCAACAATAGATATAAATGGTTAGTAGTATGAAAGTGACAGCCATACTAGAAACTTCATTTACGACAGAACCGTAATCACAACCTCTGTTGTCCTGACACATACTTAACTTCCTTAGGAAGGACTCAGTCGAGTAAGATAACCTGCAAACCTTCCGGTTGTTCTACAGAAATGACTAACAGGTCAGTTTGACACAAGAAGTTCTTCGCCCTCTCCCTGCTCCCATCCAATTTAGACCTTCCATTCTAGCATCAAAACACCCCTCTAGCTTGTTGACCACCACAGACAGCATTCAGTCTTGTTCAGTGACCGGGAAGTTCCAGGGCCTCTGTATTGGGTCTGGCTGAGATGAAGTTAATTTCCCCCTTGCTGTGCTTTGTGTGGGTCGATAGAAGGGTGTTGATAACACACCAGCGTTTTGGCTACCGCTGAGAGTGCCCGGGCAGCATCAAGGCTGTCTCTCTGACATTGCCCCCCCACCCCCACCCGGCTGAGGGTGGGCAAGATCTTGGGAGGGGACACAGCCAGGACAGCCGACCCAAATTCCCCAAAGGGAAATCCCATACCATATGACATCTGCTCAGCAATAAAAGCTGGGAGAAAGGAGGAGGAAGGACGGGCATTTGTTATTTACGATGCCTGTCTTCCAGACTAGCCGCTGTGCGTACTGGAGCCCTGCTTCCCGGGCAGTGGCTGCACATCCCTGCTGATAGGAAGTGGAGACTAAATATTTTGTTTTCCTTTGCTTCCACACACAGACTTTGCTTTTCCTTTATTGAACTGCCTTTATCGCGACCCACAAGTTTTTATTTCCTCCATCTTATTTTTCTCTCCTGAACCTGACCAGCTGAGGAGGGGAGTGATGGAACAGCTTGGTGGGCACCTGGCCTTCTGCCAGAGTTAACCCACCACAGCCTCTAAACGCTGCACAGACAGAATTTTTGGGGAGCTGCTAGAAGACAAGAGTCTTACAGCTTTTTGTTACTATACATATGCGATCTTTCACCTGGAATACAATTGGTCTATTTGGTTTTATTCCCTAGTCCTGATCAAATGACCGTGTGAAAACGACTTTTTATCTGCTTCTCCCAGGCTCTGTTTCTGTTGCTGTAGAAGTAATATGGTTTTAGTACTTTTATTCTTGTTGGATCTGCAGAACTAATACAGTTCTCCACCAGTGAGCTGAACTCTTTCCTAGCTTGCATGCCATCAGCAGAAGAGTTAGCTGAGTTCCAAATGCAGTCTTTCTAACTGGTAGTGTCAAAGCCAGAAAGAATCCAGACGACTTTTTAGACTAGGGGTTGTACTTGCAGGGCTGGCAGAAAACAAACGTTTTGCTTTTAACGTATCAGAGTGGATCTGAAAAGTGCTGCAGAAATAAAGGTGGGATCTTGACACACGGCCTTGCAATCAAATTTTACAATACAACCATGCTTTATGTAGATCTCTTCTTCCTTTAATTTTCCATCTTGCTTCCTCCTGCCTACACACTTCCTTAGACTATTTTAAAATTACTCCCACTATCTGTCAACATTGGTTTACACTGCAACTCCCCAGATAGTCTCTTTTAAGAGCCAGGGAAATTTTCATTTGAGATTAGATTGTGATGCAATTTATCTGTTTTATTTTCCTTTTATGTTTCCTTCAACTTCTATTTTTAAATATCTAAATAATGTAGCTAACAGCTTCTTATGCTTTTAGCTTTAATGGAAATCTGTGTCACCTCTTCTGCTGGGTTAATGTTCTCATTCCACTTAAACACTTTATTGTGCTAAAAGAATTAAAGTTTACTCCATTTTCACAATTAAACTAGTTAATAAATAGCTCACAGGACCCCATATAACTTGGCAGCACTATCTCTAAAAATACATAGCATACACATATGTATCTAAGATAGCACTGAAAGCAAGGGATCTCTTCTTGGAATAGTAAAATTGCTAAGTATTAAAACCAGGCTGGTTTAGGAGTACCACTGTAGCTTCAGGGGTAACAGGGTCGACTTACTCCAGGATATTTGCCCAAATCCTGAGGGTCTTAGCTTAGACAATGTTCCCACTAAGCAATAGCTAAGGACTTTTTTTTTCACTTAGTCAACTGTGGATCCTGGCTACCTCCTGATGAAATCAGAGAGTTTGGTAACTGAACAGGGGAACAGTCTCAGGCACTGGGCTCTGCTGTGTAGCTGTCACAGTGTGGTGTAGTGTGCCACTCTACAACGCAGAAAGTAAACCAGCTTAATTAAGTAAAAAAGAGATGAACATTTTAAAGTTTATACTGTGTTTCTTAGTACACTTACTACCACAAAAAACCCCAAACAAAAAACAGACCAGCAACTTGCACATACCTTACCATACCACTACGTAATTTTTGATACAGCTACTTTTACAGCTATTCCTATGAAGTTTCAGGAAAACAATGGATTTTGTTTAGAGAACAGAGTAGAGTTCTGGCAACAGAGGTTGTTAAAACACTTTCTCATCTTCATTTTTGACTCATGGTTTGCTTTGATCTTTGCCTTGACAAAGATCTTGGCTTGATAGATTTATCAAAAGGTTCAACAAGTGTCTCATTCCTTAATTGCTTTGCATGTCAAGGTCCACAAACAGGGCAGCGCAACCCTTTGGGAATGCAGGTAGAATGGTCCGTCATCAAGCGGCACTGCTAAAGAAGTCTAGGGAGGCACTAATTTTGTATCATTATTTCTGATTTCGGGCCAGGAATGCTGAAACAATACAAGTAATTACTGCTAATAGCATCAGTGCTAGAAAACATGTATTTGTGTAGGTAGGAATTTTCTGTATTGGAACTAAGGCTTTTTTAGGCAAATGAAATCAGTAAGGGAATAACTAAGATTGAAGAGGGACCTATGGAAACCTCAGGAAGTAAAATGAAAGACAATTTTTTTTGTACAGACTCTGTGAGAAACTTTTGCGACTGTCCCAAGCATTTTGTTTCGTTCAGAAAGTCCTACTGGATTGACCAATCTTGTATAATTAGCAAGAGCTGAAAACCAAAGCTTTTATTTTGAAGCCAGTAACAGCAGTTTTCTGGACCACTTTCTCTTTTACCAGTGGAATGAATTGCTTGGTTCCTTTCCTTCTTTTGAGGAAAAGTCCCAGTTAATCCTCTTGTGAAGATTTAATGGAACATCTGTAGTTACCATTTATTTCCTTCCTGCGAATATAAATGCTTTTCTCTCTGGTTTTGTTTTTGTGACTTCTTTTCAGGAATGGCTCCAAAGAGTGTGATGGATTGGGATAACCTCTCTGCAACTGCTCAGTGTTGACTTGATGACTGGAATAACTCATGAAGAGAATAAACTTTAGGTTTGGGACCTCTGGAGATAGCTCTTGCTATCCAAGACAGCAAGACAGTTTCTGTCTAAGACAGTTTTTGTGCTGCTGTTCTTGCACAGAATCAACATCCCAGCCTTCCTGTGGCTGGGGTCATACACCGTTATCAGGGAGAGCCTCTCATCCCTGATAAGGTGCTCAGAATAAAAGAAGATTGCATGATCAGCTCCTGTTTATAGCAGCTGAGGGACAGCTGGGAATCAAATAAGGGCTTTCTGTGTTGATATTTACCATTCAAGTCATCCTAATACAATCATAACTCCTCTCGCTCTAGAACAATGTCCATTAACACCAGCAGAAGTCAGTGGAGAAAATACAGCAAAGCCAGCTCAGCTGCTCGAGTTGGAGCTACTCCTATGTAACAGCAGTGTGAAGTGACTTAAGCCTGTAAACTGACTTCCATCCATTGCCATCTGATGCTTTCAGGATCTTCAGAGGTGCTGTAGCCGATAAATTCTCTTGCCGTGCTAGAGCTAAGGTCCCTTGAGAAGCTGCCCCAGGCATGTACTTTGTACCATCCTTGTTTTTTTTACTTAGGATGGGGCTGCAAAACAGGGCAAGAATCTTCTTCCATCATCCCCTCTGGCTCCTGAGCATGGACGTCTGAACATGGTCCATTGCTTCAATCAGAGCCACTCATGACCTGAGGCTTCCAGCTCAAAGATCCATGCAGAAGATGTTCTTTCAAGCAGAAAAGAGTATTTCACTGACTCAGTAAACTGCAACAGGGCTGCCTAAGACTCGCATCCCTTTGTAGATGAGAAAGAAAAGGCTGCTGCTGCACTCACTGGAGCTAAAGCTGAAGCCTGAAAAAGGCTGCTGAAGGGAAGCAGATTTAACTCCAGC